ACCAGAACAATTATCTCGAAGAGAGGAATAGGCAGTTGCAGTGAGTTCATCATTTCTTGATTACAAGTTCTGTTATTCTACCTGGTCGTTGATTCTGGGTTATCATTGCAAATACTTTCACTTGTTCGGTAACCAGCGCCGAGCTGAACATCGGACAGTCGCTGAACATGATTCTTCGATGTGGCACTAAATAATCCACACCGAAACTTTTCACTGATTCGCCTTTTGCTGAAGTTCCTTCAATTCTGCAGTTCAAGATTCCCCGTTCCCCGGAATCGATTTGAGCGGAATTGTAAGGTCTCGTTCATAGTTTGCGGCTGAGGAGATATGGCGATTTGGGAGATTGCCGGGTCTTTCGAGCCGCCGAATCGCCGAAACTCGCAATCGCTAGCGACCGGTGGCGATTGATACCAATCTACTTTTTTGAGGCGCAATCGCCGGAAACGTCAAGTCTCCCCAATCACCGGATCGCTGAATCTCCACAGTTCGTCAGATCGATACTTAGATCTATATTCCTTGCGTCAACTCTCAAATCGCCGAACCTCCTTCAGTCGCAAAGTAGGAACGCAGTCTAATGCTGTCTAACATCATCGATGGAATGCTGCTGAAATATTTAATTATGTAGGTTATGGTAAGAATCACGTTCAGCCTTTGGTACAGCTGTTAGGGCTATTCAAGAAGACTTGTCTCAAAAACTATTTGTCCTCCTGCCTCCAAATACTTTCACATTTTTGTTGAAGGTGTAATGTGGACAACTTGAAGAGAAGGCTCAGTGCGTTGGAAAATGGGAACGAAAAAAGTGGTGTCACTGTGGATCGAGAGGTGAGTATAAAGAAAGATGGAGTCCGTGCAAGCGGAACTATTACGAAAGTTCAAAGTGTTGTTCGAAACGTTATACGAAGTTGTCCTTACTAGAAACTCATGGCAGTTGTTATGATAACTGCTGTTTAACGCCGCAGTACGCGTTCCGAATGTTATCACAAGAATGCTGAGTTGTGGGCAAAAGTCGTGCCCCAGGCGGGAGTCGAACCCGCACCTCACGCTTTCCGGGCGAGTGCGCTGCGTAAGGCGGATAGCACTCCGCCTGGAAAGCGTGATTCTGCTCGTTCCGACTCCCGCTGGGGCACGAACTTTTCGCCCATAATCAGCATTTCGTGATAACTGGTCATGCCAGGTACAGTCATCACCGAAGTAAATCAACATAAACGGGGTCTACTTGTTACCGGTGGAAGGGTAGCTGAATGAATTGGCACTTGAATAAAGAAGTTTTGTTAGTTCATCCAGTCCTGGTAGGTGATGTTGCAATGTTGCCTTACTATTCTGGTAGTTGAATAGTAAGGCAACATTGCAACAACATTGTAACCTCTTTCAACCTTGTTCTCCACCTCTTTTTTTCTCCCACGCGGGGAAGGGGAGGGAGGATTGAGGTATCAGGGGAAATTTTCCCACTTCATCCCACTGGTATTATATATCCGATTCATGAACGTCAAATTGAAATTTATTATTGCAAAATATACTCATGACTTAGATGATGAAACAGGTTGTCCTTCACGGTGATTTCATTGAATTTGTTATAGCTTGTCTCCTTCAAAAATATTGATCATGCTGAAAACAGCAAACCATCCGGAAGTAAGGAGAAGGAATGGGAAGAGGAACGAGAGCGCTTACTGGGACAGGTAGGTTTCTTCCCTAGAGTGTTATATTCTAACTATAACTTTTCCTTTTAGATTGTTGAGAGGGAGGATTCATTACGAATTGTGCAGCAACAGCTTGTGGACACAAAAAAGATCAACACGGACTTATACGATAAACTGAAATTGGCGGACGAGAAATGGCGGAAATTGGAAAAAGACTTATCGAGGATCCGACAGCAGTACGCAGAGGTGGGTGTTATTACATTATAATGCAATCAGGGTTTGGGAAAAGCTTACAGAAAGCGACCTCTTCGAAAATTCCTCCTGTCATCTGCTCTGTCACCCATCCTACCTACTTTTTTTCACTGACTTCCTACCACTTTTTCCATTTTCAATTGTCCTCTCCCCCAAGGAGTTGCCTCTGCTCCGGGGGTAGATGTACATAACTGTGAAACGGGAAAGCCATGTGACCCGAAACCGTTTCCTTGAGAGCGATTGCGCTCCAGCCCCACCGACGATCCCTAACGTCTGACGTGCCCTGAATACAGTAGTGTTCTCACAAGTTCTTTGTCGGAGCTCAACCGTTCCAGTGCGAACTGGTGTGTTTTCGAAGGATTCTGCTATTATCGATACCGATTTGAGGCCACACTCCGCGTTTAGCGGAGACTCCAGTAACTTTCCCAACAATCATTAGGTGACTTGGG